TTTGCATTACATTAGCGAGTTCACTTTTTGGTGACTTGAGCCGACAAAAATTGCTTTTTACAGCTCACAACGTACCGTTTGTAGAACGCCTAAATGTATACAATCTGCTATAGGCCCCTCCAGTTTAGCGTTCCCCTGTAGAGGACCGCCTGTTGTTGGCCGCCGCCAAAGGCGCGTGAGTAAAGCTTGTTCGCAGTCTGATTGGTGTCAATGGCTCACCCATATTTTTTCAATGGTTGCTGTCATCAGTCACTTGACAAGGATGCTCACGGACTCACATGGTTTTCCTGGCGCCAATGAGCGGTTTGTAGCCCTTGTCGTCTGTCTTTATTCACGGATTTTTTACGGACTATTAACTAGCAGGGCTGTAAGGTTGTCCAAGCTAACGCCATATTTGGTGACCCCGACGTGGTAACTTCGAACCGAATCACCTCTTTCAGTTGATATCAACTCTTGAATCAAGGGCACGTGCAGCTGATGTGCTGCCAAAGCCCACATTTCGTCGACAGACACCGCAGTCTGCGAATGAAAACGTCTTCTACGATGTCCTCTATGCTTACTACGTCCGCCGCCTAAAATTCCACCCTGCTGCGAAAGTCTGCTTCGAACAGGCAGTGCGGCTCTCTGAGGAATTGGCACTTACTTTGCCCTCACTGTTTCGGCGAGTGAAGGGCGGCCAGTGTGGCGCGGGTTCTAGAGTTTTGGCGGTTCTCCAAAGACAGGCTTTTTGTCTCTCTGCTTGCATAAGTGCACTGGAGTTGCTGCCGTCGGAGGATCAATGGCTCGTCATACCAGATGTCAAAGGTGCCTTCGTTGATGGACTTGTCGCAGAAGAATCGGTATTGTTTATGTGTATATTATCGTTTTGGACCCTCGGTTAACTCGAAGATGAACAGTAGAGCGGTTGGAGTTTTCGATTAAATATGGTGACCACAAGAACTTCAGAGTTGGAAGTAGAAAACCGTAATTGGTAATTGTATTATTTATTTTAGCTAGGCACGTCCCCCAGTTACCGGAATTTTGTCATAATTCAGTCAAGTTAAAATCGCCAGTGTAATATGCAAATTCAGTGATATGCTGGGCTGATCGCGCAAATGAACAAGCAGCATCTATCGCTTGCTCGGTATAGCTGTGTTCACGCACTTCAAATATTTACGATTGCTTTCACCTACATTCGGCTTCAAATAGGTTACTAAAAAGATTTAATGTTACTACTTTTCAGCCAGACGATAAGACTGAAGCCATGTCTTGGGCATTCGATGATGACGAAATCGAATGTGAATGTAAAGGCACAGTTCCCGAAACCACTCCATTCCGTGCTGAGGGCCGTCGTGTCCTACGGCTGGCCGATCTTGAGCACCAGTACTTGGCCGTGCGAGCCCGTCTCCGCCTAGCACAAGTGTCCTGGCAGCAAGGCATGCTTCGTGTGGGAGCCACTTCGCCGCAGGAGCTCTATTCTTCTCTCATCGCTACTGCGCTCTTTGAGGTGGGTCAACCAACCTTTTTTTCATCCTAGTTGACTGGCAACACAAAAATCGCCCAACAAGCCATTCAATTTCTGGCTTCAGGTTTATTGTTTATGAGCTTGGTGGTGACTTTTTAGGAAGATGTTTGAACATTTGGTGATTGCAATTTATTTCAAAAAATCCTATGGATAAACTTCCGAATTAGTATTGCTAAAGGTTAACTCTGAGGTGTCCCCATGGTCATACGGGATTATTTTCTACTCGTCGATTTTACCTCGCTGTACTCCTGATTTCTTAGGAGGCCTTTCACCTCTTGGTATCCTTTGACCTTGACCCATCAGCATTGGTTACCACAGTGGCCTCTCGCTGCGCAGCGCTCACAGAGCACCTGCAAATTAATAATGGCAACTTATCCAATGCCCCTTGCCTCCTGCCTCTGTCTAATGGTGCCTCGCTGCTGAGCGTTGAACGCGCACTAGTCGCAAAGTCCGTTGCTGCCCTGTCGGATTACCTAGATCTCGATGGAGCAATAACGGTGGAAAGTCAAACGAGGTCAGTATCTCATCACGTTACCTCACCTCCACATTTTCAGAGGTCTGTATTATTGGTTTCGACCTAGTCGTGACCCAATTAACCGGATGCATTGAAATGTTCTGCCTGTTTATTAATCTCATCTACTTTAAGGGGGCATATTTCACCTCGGTTCTCTGCGTATTACGCACCATCTCCCCGGTTCTTCACCTTGTAGAGCATCTCATCGATTAATCTACTCCCTTTACCGAATTCGACGGGTGATCCTTTAGTCATTAGGCTCTATTAAAAATAATCCGGTGTCATTATTTTGGTTCCTATGCGTTTCTCGATCCATTCTCATCTTTTAAATTATACCAATTTCAACCAAGAGATATCCTGGTTACCGAGACTTTACACTACACGTGCACTTTAACTCCTGTCTAGTTCGACTTCTTTTGAATTTTTCAGTCATCTCCTCGATTTGTATTGGTCCCTTTTGAGAGTCATTTTATCGTCCTTGGACTCTCATGTAGTCAAAAGTCATCCACGGTCTAAATGGGATCTTGATTTGCTTGCCTGCCGAATAATACTCTCCGGATCGCCCAGTCAGCACTCTTCAATCCAACTTCCTGGTTGGCTCATGCAAAGGCTCCTCCTGAGTGAGGCTCCCGGTCCAGTGGTGCCCCTCTTGCGACTTTTTCTGCAGCACAACAGACTGCGCGACGCCTGTCGTTTGGCCACTTCTATGCTATCGGCTGCTGTCGGCCCAGAGACTGGTCAGTGCGCAGCCCTCCTCAAGAAGGTGCGCTTTCGGTCATTAAAGTCAGGATTTTTATAGTACGAAATGCGCACACGAGCACTGATACAAATTCCCTTGATTATATTGGAAATGGTATTATAATAAGGATTGCTTGCGAATTCGACTTGGCTTACATAATTTTCTACCATGCCATTTCACGCTTGTATTGAAAACAACTCCGCGAACCACACCTCTTTAATTCCCGCCTCCATTGCTGCCAATGCTAGCGCTCATGCTCAGCTACTTAAGTAACTAATGTGCACTTTGTTCGTGCAAATTTGGCTTCTATTGTCTGGGTAAAAGACATCAAAATAAACAATAAGCAACAGTTAAACATGCGCAGGAGGTAACAACCAATTTGTACCGCTCTGTATCTTGAGTGATTGACACTTGAGGTACCGTCTGGCGATAGAGCTAGAGCACAAAAATCAACAAGGAGCGGAAAAGTGGCTCTAGAAACCAAGGCTACCAGTAAGAGAGTATAGAAAAGTACCATGTAAAGTGTTACAGACACCACAATTGCCGTAATTTTGCTGCAGCGAGCTGTAGGAAGGAGTGAATTACCCCGAATGCCCAAGTGGCTTTTTGAGCACAACTTGGTCCCAAGCAACTTGCCGTAACAATCGTGAATCGTGGCTCCCCAACACTAACGATAACTCGAAATATCTTGGTACGGTTGTATGTGGCGCTAATGTGCAACGTTTTTTGTGAATTTTTTTTCTTTCTAAAGTCACTACCTTCTGCATTGACGTATTGCCCAAGCTGATCTTCAGTGTAAAATTTGGCAGGACCACCTTCAAGTGCTGTTGAATTCTGCGCTATGATTTAGCCTTCAGTCGAAGTGGAAATTGTTGTTGCTGGTGCAAAAAGCCTTTCGCTTATGTCCTTGACTAGCATTCATGGAAGGACAACTGTGCTTTTTCTGAAGTGCCTCGGAAAGTGACCTGTCAATAGTCTTTGCAAGCGTGCATTAAAAGTGGAGAGTTACTGCTTGCTGTGTACTAGTGCCACGAAATGTTTATTGCGGTCCGAAAAAGTTGTTTCGTGTGGAACGTCACTTTGTGTTCCAGCCAAATATGTGTGATTCTGGTCGCAGACCGTGATCATCGTGCACACTTCTGGGGACTTTTCTTGCATATCTCGGGAGGTTGGCGTCACAACAGAGCTTATCTTGACGCATTGGCTCAAATATGCATTCCTAGTTTCTAAAAGCTAGTAATCTGTTAAGTCCTAACTTATCAGGCGGATCAGTGATGGCGTCCGTCATATTGGCTCATTAATGATTGGTCACTCCAACCGAATGCTTATAAACACTGAGATGTTCCAAGCTTCGCTTGTGGTAATAGCGTGTACATTTAAGAGGGGTCGATTGGGTACCTGTTCCTGCCATCTAATTATATTTCGAGCATGAGGCACTGCGCTTAGAACCAATTTTAGTTGTTCGATTAAACAAAAGGCGGATCAAATTAGAAGTCGATAGTATGATAATTTCAATTTTTTCCATAATTTAGAAAATAAGGTAACAATTTTGCTTGCCTTTTTCTGTCTTATTCACATTAGCGCATTTGAGACAAGATTTCATGCCGTTTTATGTAGTATGTAAAAGCCTTGTTCTTTGCCCAAATTTGAAAACTTCAAATGTTTCCTTCATGCACTGTTTAGGCTAACCTTCACCAGCTAAAGATGAGTCAAAGCCCTCTCAGTGAATGTGCTTCTTCGATGTCAGTTTATCTTCCGCACGGTCTCCTTGTGCGTCTTCTGGATGCCCTTGCTTCCGTCTCGCGCACCTCAGTGCCATTCTCCTCCGTAAGCTCGTGTTCAAGTCGCGATCAACGATCTTGCATTCATTACTTTCATAACCACCCTTGCACTCACATTTTGGCACGCAGTCGCGGTTCTAGCAGTAATGACTTTCGATGGTTACTCCATGTTTTTGTCGCATAAATTATCGACCTAATACTACTTTGCGTCTACTACAACAGACTGTTCCGTGTGTCAGTAGGTCTGAAATACATGGTTTTTTTATTTTGTGATGTCTGCCACCAAAAAACAAACTACGCTCAAGTATCAGGAGGGAACTCAATTCGATGGTGGTGATAGGTCAACGTTTCGAAACGTTACGGTACCGAGTATTTCAGAGGAGAGACTCCGTTAGATTATTTTTTCTCTTTGTCCCGGTTAACGTGAATTACGAAGTCGGTTGATAGACTCGAGGTGAAAATTTGACGGGGTGCACACGTGTTCATGTCTGCACTTTTATCCCAGTGACCTTTGACTTCACGATAATGTGACAAGTTACTACAGAATTGACTTATCTGATTAGCATGACCCTTGTTCTAATGCCATTGCGCTTTTTTATGTAGCTTGAAGCTAACTGTTGCACTTACTTTGTATCACTACCAATATAGATGGTTCGGAATTCTAAAATGGGGGAACATTTTTAATATGCTACTTTGCCACTTTCTTGTCATAATTTTGTTTGAATTCTGAAAGCACTTAGCTTTCCTGGCTTTTGGTTATTCATTACAAAATGGGCTCTTTTTGGTACACAGACTCTAGGATAATTCACCTGTTCAAAGGCCCTCTCAATATTCGTCTTCTGCACCCTAAATTTCCTCATTGCATATTTTTTTCTCACTTTAGATGCATGATGAATTGGAATCTCTTATGAAGGACTATTACACAACGTTGACATCTGTTAGCAAATGAAGTCCCTCACCTATGTTATCCAAGTTGTGCATTTTTTTTAAAGAAATAAAATGTATCCGCACAATTTCTGTGCTTAAATTAAAACCAGACTTGGCGTCTCAAGCGTTTGATTGAGTTTGCTTTCAAATAATGCCCAAAAATGCTCTTAGTCAGTGATCTATGTTCTTGTTCAAGGTGCTGTCATCTCGGCGAGGAAGTTCTGCCCAAACGCGATAGACCATCTGCAGTCGCCACGGTTTTATAGCTTTCGTCAGCTTGGCTACTTTTCAGTTGGTTTCGTCCTTCAGCTCAAATAACCGCTACGCCCAATTAGCAGTTTTTGGTAACATGGGTATTGTGGCAACAGCTTGTGGTGCGCGATGCATCTTTAATCCCACGAGAGCAATTTATTTTTAGCGTCTGTCCATGTTGGTCAAGTGCACCTCGGCCGCAGTATTTTCTGCCATTTCTTAACTCGGCGTTGATTTGTTTGAACGTAGGCGTTTTCATTGGACAGCGCTTCGAATGGGAAATATGATTTGCCGATTTTCTTGCTTATTTGATGCGCCACCAAGTTATCGAGCTCGTTGATCAGTTTGTGGTCTCATATTTTACGAGACAGTGTTGGAACAGGTAGTTGACATGAATTATTTGGTGATTTGGTCCCGATTGAGGAATTATTGATACAGGTCGCTAAAACCAAAAAAAACGTCATGTAGCTCCCAAGTTTTCAGACTTCTTGCTCAACCAACGATGAGTCGTGCCTTGTTGGTGATGGGAGGTTGGTTTATTAAAATTCTTTGATGACATAAAGGTGATTAAAAGGAGCGGATCGCCCTGTGCGACATCTGCGAGGTGAATCGAAGTACCAGGTTGTCCGCTTTCAAATATTATTTTATCAGTTAAGTTAAAATCGCCCCACTATTCTCATGTCGTTCTATATTATGGCTATAGAGGTAAATATTAAAACCAGCTAGTGGGGTTTGTCAAGCAAGAAATGAAGTGTTAATTGTAGGGTGGAGACAAGTAGGTAAGTAAACGTCGCCGCATCAACTCCAGGTGTTCCGTTCTTAAACAGACGAACAACCGGCCGCGAACTCGGTAATGTGGGAAGAGAGAAAAGAACTACAATTGATTTTTCTGTAACACCTAAACAATTGCAAAACGGTAGTTAGCAGGGAGTGCATTTTATCACAAGTATGTGCGACCTCCATCCAAATACCTAAAAGCAGGTATAGCCAGTGAAAATATCGACATTTACAATTTCTACATGTCATTGACTCCTCTAGGTAGATCACTTCAGTTGGGGAAGATCTGTCGTTTTAAGACTTTATGTGGGTGATTTCTGGATTGGATTGATAATAAAAGGTAGGATGTCCGATGACTCGGCGTCATTTTGCACCCAGCTCAATGACCATCGTTTGACAACGAGGACGTGCTCATTTATGTCTGACCAAGGTCTGTATGTTTGCGTGGTTCACATCGAATCGACTTCATAGAATCAACATATATTGATATTCGAGCTTGCTTATGTTTTACCATGACGTCTAATTGAAAAGAAGAGCTTGTATAGGCACATCCAGGTATCGCTTGTTGTTGGGCGTTGGTTTTGACCGGTGTGCTGTTTGTTTCTTCTGGTGCGAAGAGTAGTTCGCATTGTAAATACGGGGTTTTGGCCTCTGGGTCAACGAGCCTTCAAGTTGCAAAATATCGCACTGCGAACCGGTTCACAATGAAGGTAAAGTGTTTGCACTGGGTGTGCAAATGATGTAGGCAAATAATTAAATGAAGGTTCTCTTTTGGCCCCAAAATCAGCTTTTGAGCTCATATTAGAGACACAATAACATATTAGCAAAAATCAGCTACACCTCAAGTTCCCAAAAGTCGCTCATCCCCCTCGTCCACTGCACTGTCTGTGAGGACGCGGTTAGCGCGTGCATGTGCCCGGTTCCCCGCGCCGATGGTTAGGCGGGAACCGAAACTGTGCTGTTGGGAGCAATAACTGCCTATTAACATCATACGAACATACGGGTGCGCAGCTATTGAAACAGCTCCGCGAGTTTGCCTCAGGGATATGTTCATGAATTTGACGCAAAACAGCAGGGTACACAATTTAAAGCATTTCTTGTACGTCTGCACGCGCACACCCCGTCGGTGCGTTATGATTGGCCGGCAGTGAGAGATAGACGGACAGGCCAGTGTGTTAAAGTAATGCAGCATGCGCGTTCCCCATTGATTGGGACACAAGCCAGCCAGAGGCTATCTCGCTCTCGCGCACACGTAGGTATCGCCCCCATCTTTCGCAGAATCTCTCGCTCTCATTCCTTTCTGGCACATTCCTCGCAAGCACCCGCACATGAGGAATACGGAGAGCAAAGTTTGCGGGGGTTGAAGCCAGCAGTGGCCGCGTAGTTGTGAGTCCGATTGCGAGAATGCCAGATTCCAATCCACGATATCCTTCGTCCACAGCCTTGCCTCCTTCGGATGACGAAGTGGAGGAGGTTCACATAAAAGGTTGTGATCTTCAAGCTCCTGGATCGTCGTCAGGTACGCACGGACGACGTTCCAGTGCTAAATTGGGGTCTGTTATCCCACCTGTGCTCATTTACGGATGGCTTCTCTCATTCTCCCACTATATAGCACTCTATTCGATGTTGGTGGCTCGCCTAGGCACTCGATGCGACTGTCGGAAGTTGAGGGCGAAGTCAGAGGTTGTCCGGCGTCGAAGCGTGAATTATGCCCGCAAGTGTCAGGACAGCCTTTTACCCATCATCACCAAAATGGGCATGGTTCTTAGGAGTATTCCAGATAACTTGCCATTACAAAATTCCGATTTGTCTCACTTGTCCCAGCGTGGAAGTCGGAAATCTAATCTAGAGGATTATTATCGGCTTTTCTTTCTACACTGTACATGCCTCGAATTTTTCATCGGTCAGTTGCTTCGAACCGCCCAATTATTTCAATGTTTTTCTCTCAATATTGGCAGGTCCCTTACCAGTTCCTTGGTTGCTCCTCCCCAAACCTTTATCTATTCTGGGCTTGCTGAGGTAGAGAGACCTCGAAAAAAGCGTTCTCAGATTTTATCGCAATTACATCGAGATGAGCGGAACACGTACGCAAATGACTCTCTTTCGGGAATAGAATTAGAAGTCGCTTCTCGGATTAGTTATGGTCAAACTCCCAGTGCTGAGCAAGAAAACCACTCCAGTGAACACCCTTGCGTCGCCAATTACCCTTCAGGTATTTCTCAGCAGGATCCTCGGACATCCAATAAGGCCCTCAATACCAAGGGAAAATTAAGACGGTGCATTTTATCCCGAAAGTTTGCAACACTCACCACTGCTTCCTCAGGCTCCTTAGAGAAATCTTCTGGGAAGCAATGGAATGAGGGGAAGAAGAAACTGGATCCTCCAATTCTTTTGGCATGTGGCGAACACAAAAAACGCATTATAGAATCGGACACCGAGTGTTTTGAAAAGTTGGCCGAAGATATTAGGCTTGTAAAATGTATGATTACGGAAATTCATGCTAATGTGTCAGTGAACCCGTGGGCTGTTCGACCAGGTTGTCGACGTAATAGGCGACAATCTGATGTAGACTGTGATTGCTATGACGACGATGTCCATTCTGAATTGGTTGACGATGAAAATGATAGCTGGCCTCAGGAGGACGGAGACTTTGATTCTTGGAAATACACCCCTAAGATATCCCACAACCACTCGACACAGCCGCAGTTCCGCTATCAAAATTCCACTTTTCAACGGTGGCAACGCCAACTTCGGAATGCTCGATTAACCAGGGCGATGCGGAAGAATGTTCCCCCGGGTGGATTTGAGGAGAAGAGTCAGGAAGACGATGAAACAGTGCTAAGTAAACGTCTGCGAAGGAACCAGTATATCTGCCTAAGCCTCATAATTGTCTTCTCAATCGGGCTTTTTGGCTCAGCCCTCGGGTCATGTATCTATCTACTAACTTGACAATGGTTCTGTGTCTACGCGATCCATCACTTTTTTGCTTACCTAAAGCTTTGGGTTCCCTGATTTCCCGTGTGATCCAGGGGCACACATAACGTCCCACTTCTTTCAGTTTTTCCCCCAATTTTGGATTGGAACGAACAGCTAGCTGGGGTGTGTGCGCTTTTGCATGTGCAAAGATTTGTATTTTTTAATGTGATTTTGATACAAATAAGAGCAAAGCGATCACGTTGTTTGAAACTGTCTAAATGCATTGTCTGCCATAGCTCAGGCGCTTCTTAAAGCGAAATTGTTCTATCTGAGGTAGTTTTGAATTAACACCAAAAATATTTGCCAGCCGATTGACCCAAAACGGCTCACCTCCCCTCACCGTACTTATGCAATTTGATTGAGTGCATGGCGCTTGCCATTTTTATGTCGTGTATGGTACAGTCCGCGAAGATTGCCAGTATCACAGCCCACCATGGTATTTCCGAAAGCACGATTCAAAGAGCCTGCAAATGTCTGTGGGAACTAGACGTAGTCCGATTGAAATTAGCACGGCGTTGCTTTTGACGGGCATCAGGTGGGCACCCCATTCTGAAATAAGAGGAGGAATTGTCTTTTGATTATGCGAACCAGTTGGCGCCCTTATGTGAAGTGGATAATTCGATTAATCCCATGCCGCAAACTACTTGTCTTTTTTTGTAAAAAAATAAATTCAAAGAAACCTAAAGCAAAGTTTTGTGTAATATATCAGTTTTACAATCAGTAGTTCGGTCTCTCACGTCCCAACCCTGCTGTCATCGAATCATCTACTAGGGACCGACAGTGACCTACTTTTATTCGTCCATGACCTCAAGGACACATGCGATGTCGCTGATGGCGACGCGACCTGACACGCGCGCTACTCAGATCGCGTCGTTTTAAATCATTAACTAAAACAGCAAGTTTAATTGCATAATACAGATTTCAGAGCTTGAATAGTCCTGAAAGTCGGTCGTTAGACGTCCCTACGACGGCGACTGCATCATCACTATCGTCATACATTAGCGGACCGACACTTTTACTTTTTGTTGAATGCTATTTGTTTATTTTCTACTAGCCATCTGAAGTTCGTCACTGGACACCAGTGTTTTCGTAGTCCCAGTCCTACCATGTATGTACATTTTCTTAAAAGCAGCTTTAGTGCACAATGGTTTAACAAGAGCGGAAATAATATAAACCAGACAGGGGAACTAGTTTTAGCTGATCCGTCGTATGGTGTAGGAACGTTGACGATCACTTGAATGGTTGGTCGAAAGATGATAACTCTTCAGCTGTATCTGGACGGTCACTTACACCGAATATTGGTACGGTAGTGAAAGCTGGTAAATTTTGTTTACCAGTATCTGAGACGCACATATTTATTCACATTAGAATTTAATCATCTGATATAGTATATTTTATTGCTTATGAGTTTGTTAACGGATTAAATGGTGAAGTACTTGCAATAGTGCACGAGAAAACAATGGCTTTGTGTCATCAAGGGGAATGAATGTACAGTCACGAGATAACAATGATACTTCTTTCAAGTATCCAACACCCATCTTGATGGTGCCTTAAACTTGGCGCTTTTCAAAGTGTGCTGCTCTGGTTTAATCCGCTTAAGCGACCTGGGAAATTGTGTCAAATTTCTTTGGACTCAACGCGACCTCTAAAACAACAACAACAACAACAAAAGTTGCTACTGATACTCCCACGCAAAATTATTCAAGCTTGCTAAAAAACACTAAAGTCAACTTAATTTAATAATATAATGCCCCCAAAGCTAGTAAAAACAGCAATAGAACTTTTTAATGTCTCATAGTTTTCAACTTCTGAGAATAATTGTAGCACTACGAACCCAATCTAGTGGATTTCGAAAATATTTACCATAAAATGAGCGAGGCACCGAATCGCCACCGAAATGGGATAATAATGGATGAAAATCAGTCCCGTTGAATACACAATCATTCATTTACAGACTTTGCCGGTAAATGCGGGCATTTGTTAAACATAAGTTTACAAATTTCCGCAATGCTACTTGCAAAACTACTGTACAGAAATGCTTCATAGCATTATTTTCACTTTATAATCCATAATGCAAAAATGGCAAAAAAGTTATAGTTGTGAATGAAGATGCATAAACAGTGAAACAAACGCGCAAAATTTCGTAGATTTTGCCTTGTCATACCTCTCAGCATCGCACTGAGCAGACTAAAAGGTACAAAACAATGGTCTGCATTTTCTGACTCATTAAATGGTATGTTACGAGCATGTACAAATTTAAGTACCCCTAATGACAAATGGTTGTTGGTAATAAGCCTTGTCTGTTTAAATAAAATTTATTAAGTTGTTTTTGTTTTTTTTTCCGAAATCGGATATGCTCTGTACTTTTATTTAATAATGAAAGATATACTAACTTCCTAAATGCAAGAATAAGTGTCAGTAACGAAATAACACAGAAAATGCAGGTTGCAAATAGATTTGCACTTACAAAATATATCAACAAATACAGACAAATTCCTTGATTAAAAAAACATCATATTTTTGATGAAAGTAATATTACTTTATTACTTCATGGCAAAGTACTGGAACACAGGTGACCCGTAGCGTTTCAACAAATGTTTCTTTTACTTACAGGGACAATCATGAATACTTAAACATTGAATCAATGGAACCTGATTTATGATTTGACTATGGAAAATATATTTGTGCAATTATTTTCCCAAAAATTTTGATCTCGCAAAAGAAAAGTCCATTTTTTAAAAAATAACACGACTCTGGACTCAAAATTGCCATCTGATTGGATGACGTGATGGATCCAAAATATTGTAGAAAATTTTACACGTGCGATTGATAAAGCACAAAGTGATATTCCTTAAAAAAATTCAATTTAACTATGCCTGAGCTCTAGCGTCTGTTCCGGTTGAATTTGTAAAAGCGCCAATCCACGTTAATTCCAGTGCGTTGCAAGGTACGAAGCAAGCTCCCTGTTCTCCAAATTTAGTATTTTACAACCATAATTTCTTTGCAAGTTTTTTTAATACTATAGCATAGGTCTTTGGCATTCACATAAATCGTGTCGGTTATTTTCACTCTAACTAGTAAGTGAGGTACTCAAAAGACCTCCATGGGGTTTCTAGGCGCTACCCAAGCTATAATCAGTAGCCAAATACTTTGGTTAACGAATCATTTGAGTTTTTTAGTGACAGTAGCCTAAAAACAGCGATTTATAAAAACTAATTGCTCTTTCTACAAAACTGTTCAGAGCTGTGAAGTATTTCTTCTAAAAGAATAACCAAAGTACACTAAATAACCAGTTCAGCTAGAACGCAAAGCATGAACAATCAAATATCTCCAGCTTCAAAAATGCACTAAGAGAAGTAACAAAGTTCTTAATATTAATTTACCTTTTGGGGGTATTTTGACATTACGAAGGGTTCCGACGGTCCATTTGGTTTTAGGTGTGGATTAATCAGTCCGGAACAGAGGCTTGAGTCAGAAGAAATAGCTTCAAATGCCCTATTTAAGATGGGCGAATTCCGTTTTGTGTAACGTAACTTACAACTGAGCAGTAGACTTGTACAAGTAACTAAGTGCTGTCTTGTGTTCATCGGATTTATCAACAGACCAGGAAAAAGGCTATTTTGCTCTGAACAGAAATTATCAACTCACCATCTGAGGTAGTGCATTGGATAGTCGGTAATCATTTGGAAAATGCTTGTCTAAATCATAGCACAAAATGCCTATCTGTAAAATGAATCAATTTATTTCTTACCACGCAGCTTTCCAAGAATAACATTATCTTTAGGCATTTTCTCGTGAGAACCTCGAGATCCTACCTGTACTTCACAAGGGGCAGAATCAGAGCCACCACTTGAACACAAATCCTATATTAGTCAAATTCGCAACCTAGTCTTTAACATTACCCAATGTGGACTGCGTTGATTTAAATCTCGATACTCCATTGAAGTATTTGGCTGAGTATTGCAAGTCATAAAAGGGTCACGAGAACATGAACCTCTATCAGCAAAGGGAAGCATTGTATTGCATTCCGTTCGGGCCAAATTAATCCTTCTCTTCTCAGCCTCAGAGACTGATTTGTTTAAAATAAACTGCTTTTTAGCTTGTTTTAACCCTTCCATGATTGGAGCAAATTCAATATTTCTTCACGGTGCGGTCAAAAACCAACGAAAAGCATGTGCCCACCAATTCAATAGTTAATTAGTCTGGCTTAATGCGGTTAGACCAAATTTTCTATGGTTGGACAACACATGGGTTCTTATCACAAATGTTTAAAACTTCAACGTTACAAATTACTACGGAACTAGCCCAGCAAAAAAACCATCAACTATGTCAAGTCCACAAAATAATTAAATTATTTTATGTTTACTTATTAACATTGTCAAATCAAAATTAAATATTTAATAATCAAGACTCATGTAAAATTACAAGGTATGGGGTCGAGATTACGTAATTTCAGACCTTGCATTCTTCCAATTTAAAACTCTATAATTCCCACTCTCTCTTTTTAACTACATTTCGTTTACATATACTTTAAGGACATCAAACAGTCCTCTAAGCATGCAATTTTGTACATGGTTTGCCAAACACCCACGAAGACAAATAAGTCAACCTATTTTATCAAATGCACGAAACGTCACCGTCCACCAGTACTTCTTTGATATGGATTTCGGAGTCTGAAATATACTGTCTCGTATGACATATGCTTAACTACAATTGTTTGGATGTTCCCACAAAACACCCTAACATTCACTTCTCCCATTAGCTCCCCGAGAGTAAATTTCTCCGATTTCTTCCTTCAATTAAAGGAAGTTTGTACTTGCACAAAAGTCGGGATCTTGCCAAAAATGACACAAAATTTAAGTTTGTAGTCTATTAGGATTTTAATTTTTAACATTTTTTTAAATCAGTAATTAAAAATGTGAATTAGGCTTAAATTCTTACAAATAATTATTTAAATGAAAACCTATTTCTAAATCTCTTGTGACAGCGAGTTTTTTTTCGAAGTGAAACATGAAAATGTGTAAGAATTAAAATTATTTCTTTCTTATGAAGTTAACTCATTATTCACTTATATTGAGAAACACTGATAAATCAAATTCAGTCTTTATCTTTTTGGTTCTGAAATTATGTAAAATTTAGGAAATTTAAGTGTCGGAGCAGGACGCAATGAACCCTTTCATTCCTCTGTCGCGGAATTTGAATGGCAGGAGATAAACATAAAGGTGAAGTATCCATACAATGGAAGATGCAGCATGTTTGAATGACTTCGGTGGATGGTGGGTGCGAGAGTTGTTATCTGCAATATGTCAAAGTAAATAATTAGTTTTTTGTGAGGTCGGATAGATTCACAGAAATAAATGAATAAGGTAAGCAATCCGAAATCATAAAATTTTTGCACGTTTTAAGCTATTGTCTATTTCAAAGTGCTGTCAACAAGAGCACCAGTTGTCCTGTGAGTAAATTAAAGACGGGACTTCGTTAAACGTGTACAATTAAGGAATATTCAATGATAATGTGGCAAATGTAATATTTGATGCAGTCCATCTGATTGTGCCTTGTTTGAGCATAATAAAACTCACATTAATGCTAACTACAAGCAAACACAGGAATTCATGACCGCAAGTAGAAATTATTATCTTAGCATCAATGTTAAAAGGACTAAATAATTTCATAAGATAATCGCACGAATTTGTTAATATTTGCAAGGATACTCGGTAATAAGTACTCACGTTAATTACAACGAAAGGTTGGAGTCGCTCAACTTAGAGCAGGCGAATTTCAGTAATCTCGGGGAACAAAATACCCGAAAATATGTTGACACTTGGAAATTACCGCGATTCACAACGCCTGTAGTGAAGCCCGTGCTACTGCAACCATGTAACTGCAGGGGCAAATTTGACTTGAGACCCACAAAAGAAAAATTAACAAAGTGCAAAATCAAATACTTTGAGGATTTTGAATATATTGTTGAAATCATGGAATATTATCAGATACGTCAAGAGGCCGAGGTAAACATGTGCGACTCGTAACTGTGCCGGTACGTGTAGAGCATCAAAACCGATCGCCTAATCATGGTCGTTCGTTCGGAGATATGTTTAGCAGAGATAAGCGACGACTATCGCCTTATCGTCATAGTGCATCGCCAAACTGTCAAAAGCTTTGTAGCAACCAGCAACTTGGCATTTCAAAAAGATTGCCAATAAGAATTTGCACATTGACGCAATTTAAAGTCTGTCTACCCTGTTATTGCTATCATTCGTAGAACGGATGATGATGTAGAAATCGTCAAAATAATCTAGTCGTAAATTCGCGTCACTTTATTCCAATTTCATTCCCATTGTGGGTGAATTGGAAGCGCGTAAGTTCATTAGATTTTTCAGCCTAACCTACACACTCTTAGAACTTCCTCCCTGTCGGTAGACGCTTATTCTACATACATAAGAAGGCTTGCCTTGGAAGTTGCCACCCTGTCGAAACCATTCCCACCTGACCGCACGTTCTCGTCTCTTTTTTATCTATGTACTCGGAAAAACTTGACTTTAAGTTTAGTCTATTTGCATCGGTATTTTTGCAGTTGGTAAGGTTTACTGGACCAAGACTGATTCATTAATCTGGCAATCAGACAAGGTGGGGTTTTCGTGTTATTTTTCCAGTAGAAGCTGGCATGGAGACATTGTGTGTTTGCATTACATTAGCGAGTTCACTTTTTGGTGACTTGAGCCGACAAAAATTGCTTTTTACAGCTCACAACGTACCGTTTTTTCTAGCTATGTGTGCATGCGTGTGTCTGAGGCGAAAGTGTCTGAAGAAATATTGATGTTTGTAAAAACCGCGTGATTTTTAGTTTTTATTTTATGCAGTTAAGGCCAATAGCCTTTAGAAACAAGAAAAAATGCATGGATTTATTGCGAGCTCTTTGTAGCACAATCTGACTGACGCTTCTGTGATGTTTACTTTCAATTATGTTATGGTTTGCTACACTGGTAGCCTAAAATATTTTTGCATTGATTGCTACTCTTTATCTTAGAACAATCGTAGGGATATACTGACAGAATTGTGAAAGGCTATTTAACGACATGGTGAAAAGTGAGGAATCAGTTAGACTCGTAGCCTCTTAAACAGCAATACATGGTGGTATTTTATGATAAACCTGTTTTCGTACAGTAATAAAATTTGTGCAACAAAATTTACGTAAAAGGATTTAATTTAACATAATTAAATAAGTTTATTAACCATACATAACAATTGATAAATTGTTGTTTGCGAAAATCATCAACACATAACCTGAGAACATCTGTCCGAATTTCCAACAAAGCCTTGAAATGAATAAACTGGCAACTTAAAGTGTATAAATTATTTAGTTACAAATTCTTTAGGTCATGACATTTTTGGAACCGGGCCTACATTTACAACGCCAAATTGAATCGAACCAAAATTATTGTTTGATATGTTGCGCGAAGATTAATATCCGGGAGTTTAGAAGTGGTGTTGAATTTTGGTAAATAAGCGGTAATAGGGAACCTCTGTGGGTGCATCCATAATCTTCTGTTCACATTTCTGAAGAAGTCAATTTGATTTTCTCTTTTCATAATTGTTGTGCGTGCTAAATCATTTCCACCTTTACTCGAAAAATGAAGCCTCAATAGTAGCTTTACCCTGTTCTTTCATTTCAAGTTTTTGCACCAAAAATTTGTTGCACAGTCGTTTTCCATGGACATCGCCGCGGAAGAAACATCGTCTCCTCTTCAAGGTGTCAAATATGTCAAACCATTTTCCAATTTCTTTCAAGCATCTAAACAGCGATTTGCAAACGCTGATCCCGACAGTGGTGTTCACTTGGTTGGTCCAATGTTCGAGCTTACGGCTTGTATCGATAAGGAAAAGAGGTTGGTTTTCACTTATTTGACGTCTCACTGGTTATTGCTTTTCCTCCGTAACCTTAGCAAAACTGAATTTCATGCTCTTTAGCTCTGACTTCACAATGAAGTTTCTATTTTCTGTGACATTAATATAATGCTTGTGGTTTGTGTTAGAGTAGATTAATTCATGTCCCTTTACCATGTTCCTTTTCTGCAGTTGCGAAATTCTCGCCACAGCGATATAGTTTGTAGGTCTTTTTAGTTCGCGTATGTTATTAGTTTACCTATGGCACGCCGTATGTCTTTTAGTCATGATTACCAGGAATGTGGCTGTGTTAGGACGCATGTCTCTAATAAGGGTTTCATTTGGTGATAGTATACCCTAACATTCGGCATTGAATTCACTTTTCGGGTCTGATGAGTCTCATTAACTCAGTTCATTGTTTGTGAGTCTGGCCTTTACCAACCCCGAAATGTTTTCGACATTGTTCAGAGCCTTCGTGAAGTTTCGGAAGTGATTTTGTTCTTGGTAGTGTTTTTATTGATTAAGCCATAAAGTAGACTACTGGATTTCTCTGAGGTAGGCAAAGAGTTCTTGCCATTTAGTTTGGTTAAACGTTACTAAATGATCGTCCCAGTTACCGGTTAAAATGAATGAGGTAACTCTATGTGTCTGATCCTTTTCCATCATCGCTTTTCTTTCGTAATTTTCTAACTGCATAACCTTTCATTATTTTCCTTCTTAGTATTCAGGACTTTGACGCAATTTACCCAGAATCTGGCGTCTCATTTGGCCCAACAATTTGTTCTTTTGGTCTTCCATATAACGACCACAACTACGCACTTCCAGTCGGATTGACTCCCCCCACCATGGCCCCCCATTTAATGGACCTTAACATTCCCTCACTAACTTCTCGTGAGTCCGACCTCGATGTCAACCTCGTTACATCAAATGAGACATCTAAACATCCACGTGACGGCGATTCGGAAACCAGGACAGAAACGATGACCGAAAATATGGAGGCTAGACCAGAAACATATCCTCATTCCAAATGTCTTATAAAAACCAGGGGCCTGAAACCATCAACTCTGTGTCCTAAGGTGGTCACTTCGCCTACAAAGATTACGCCATTGGTATTTGCCTCAGTTGCAGATTCAACTGCAGGTCTGTCAGAGCCAAAGAAGGCCTTGTTCGCTGCATGGCATGCCAAAGCCGCAGCTAGTGGGGGTACGCTGCTAGTACAACAGCGTTGGAAGGCACCGGAAGCAGGGCAGCAGGAGGTGGCGACACAGAGGCAATTTGTCAAGGATCAGTCTGCTTTTTCCGTCCCTCGGTACTGCAAAGGCCTCATAAAAGCATCTGATGGGGAAGGAGAATATAGGTGTGATTTGGATATGAAAGTACGTTTCTTATTTCGCATAGTCAATTAACTTGGCTCATGGTTTTGTCCGAATATATTTAGATTTTTGCCTATTCGTTTTTGTTTGAAAAGTGATTTTAATCGGGAGTAAGGCTTTTCCAATTAGTTAGTGATCAGCCCATGTTAAAGGGCTAGGGTTTATTTTCCACAGAATAGTTTTTTTCGTGGAATTTCTTTTTTTGTCCAGGAATTGGAACCCGAATGAATTGTCGGGCCCGCACACTGTTCCGCCAAATATTTTGAAGTCTAATTCCTAATTAACTCAGTTTTATACCCTCTACTTACTGTTATCAGTAGGCGTTAATTCTCTGTTCGACAGTTTTAGGAGTCACTGGGATCGCTAGTATGTCTTTCTGGTTATAAATTTGCCATGTTTGTTTGGTTCTTACGTTTGCTATATACTTAAAGTGCTGCTCATAAATTTGTCGACACATTTAATTGTTTTTCTGACCACAGTTTATTATCGGTCCACTCAAAATAGTTGATCTGTATTTCCACATTTTTGACGCAGTTTTATGGTTAGTGAAATAACTTCTTTTAGTGCCTCTTAATTCTACAGAGCATCTTTTTGTGACTAAAAATGTGATTTGTCTGCCTACAATGTATCTTTGGCCACTTTATGACTGTGTGTTTTCCCTCGGTATTTCTTTTGCTCTTCTATATGTTAAAGATGTTTAGCTATGTGCCCCCAGGTTTGACACAAACTTCTAATTTTTGTACATTGGACACAAGAAATCATGCTATTTGCTAGTGTTGTGATATTTTAACTGTGAGGCATGTTAACCTTTTAGAATAGCACTGAAGATTGTACTTGGTAATTATATCCGTTTGGGGTGACGGTATTACAACGTTCTATTTTACAACTTAAATATGAAAAAAAAATGCTTTTACCGGTAAACCATGTTTTGTCACGCATATTCTGACTAATTGCTATCAAAATAAAAAGATGCGTGATTGCTTCGCCATCAGTCATGCTCGAAGCGTGTAAATTTGTGTCTTCTCTGGTGATTCTGGTGGTTTATAATTATTGCCAATGATACTTTTTTCGTCCACTCGCTAGGGTTTATAATTCAGCCATGAAAGTGTGTTTGGACTTAGGCGAAGGTTTCGGCTTTGGAGAGTGATTAAAATAATAAAAACAAACCATACTTGATCGTAATCAAAGTTCTTTACTGTGCATCAATGGTATCAAAATCGACATCATATTATTGACTAAAAGTAAGTGAATAAAACGTTTTTCAGTCATTGGGGCGCTTCGCTTGACGTTTGTTCTGGGCTGTTAAGTTTATGTGCCTTGTGTATTATTTTGCTTATAATTCTTTGCGTAAGGTTATCGAGGTTCCCGATGATATTTGTGTATCGCCATCCAAACTGAGTGACCTCGAAAGCAGTGACGAGGATCGTGATGAAGATGATGATGATGATGCATCAACAGTGCCTTACCTGAGTCCCTGTCGATCGGTCGACAAGTTACAGCATAAAGTAAATCAATAGTCATATATTCTCATTCGTTTTATTAATGTCGACCATGATTATCATCCTAGAATTGACGAACCTAAGAACTAGTCCTGATATCTAATTGCTTCAAAGACGATCGTGTGCCCTTCCACGTTTTGCCGCGATTACTTTATGCAATACCAATAATTTGTTTGTCCACAATATTTACAACTACAACTAACAATGTAATAAACCTCTTGAAGTGTGCCTGTTTGTGTGGCGTATGGTTCACAGGAGAACCCTTTTGTTCGCGTTGCTCTTTTCTATAGCCACTAAATTTGCTTCCCACACTTATTGCCCTTATATTCATACTTTAGCCTGCTATTTGGTCGACGGTACGCTGTCCATGCGAAGTTAACGTAGGAGACGCCAAAATGCAGCAGTGCCTTAATTGCAGGTAAGGCATTACCAAACACAATTTTCACAACTTAGTATGCGGATGCTCCTTCGTTATTTCAGTCTTATTTCTCGCAACACCATGTCGCAACATATTAAACTAAATGACATTTTATTAGGCCTGCTGTAATCCGGCCTTGACAAGCAATAAAGAAAAAAGGCAGATTTCCCTTTAAATTAGACGGACATTTTACCCAAAGTGAATTGAACGCTAATTCAATACTCAGGTAGGCCGAAAACTTCAGAACTAAAGAACTACCAAAATATGGCATTCTTTGTAGTAAATGCGTGAAGCTGTCAGGGTGGAGCATGAGGTTGAAATTTAGCTAAGGTTGCAATTTAGACAGGTTTGAGGCACTATTTAATTGGACTAAACCACCAAGTAACAGTCGTCAGTGCTTGGAGACGCCAAAATGCAGCAGTGCCTTAATTGCAGGTGAGGCATCGGCAACCACAATTTGCCTTATGCATCTTTTACCAGTCCGCTAGCGTGCCTCGTCAATTTCGACGGCCTACTTCTACTCTGATTCTAAGTGCGCCCTACAGTTATAAACTTACAGCCTCAATGGCAAGTAGGAGCTTCCCCTGAGGCGGATGACGTTCGTGTGTGGGAATTTTGGGCTGTTGTGACACAAGACTGAATTGGACTGAGCCGTCAAGTGGCAGTTGGTCGATGCCATTGAAGGTTGTGAAGAGTTAAGGGCACTTATCTTGTAACTTGTACTTAAGATTGTTACAACACGTGGAATGCATGGAGGTTGTCTATGGGGAAGGCGCTCGCACTAGCGAGGCCGACCCCGCGCAAATAACGCCAGTGGAAGTGTTAATGGATCCGGCCAACTACGTCTGTGCGACGTGTCTGCGACCACCCTTTGCTATAAGCTCGGTCGTTCTTGATCGTATCCGAAGCGCAGCCCAACAACGCCAGTCTGCCAGGGCTCTAGGCCTCCTGCCTGTTGCGGGCCTGCAATCAAGTAAGGGCGAAGGCGTGAAAGCCCCACTTGGTGGCGCCCAACTGCTGGCAAACGCTACTGACAGAGCTCGCCAACTTGGTCTTATCGGCTCTGGAGGTGGTTCTCGGGCTTCCATCTCTTCTAACAATTCAGAGGACCGTTTGACCTTGGTGAGTTTGCCCATTTCCTGCAATCTTGTACTTGTCACCGCCACTTCAATGAACTCCAATCTGGCCGAGGCATTAATCGCCGTCACTTCGGTCAGTCCATTCACTGGAATAAAAGCGTCAAGCGTGGAGTGGTTCGATCCCGTGTTTTACCAATTGGTTTGCTCAAAACACTGAGATGTGTAATGCTCCATGTCGCCCCAAGCTAAATAAGTAGGTTGGCAGGGAGGTGGGCTCGGTTCTGTGGTGCGAAACGCACTTCATTTCAAATGCATTGGATGAACTCCAATCATTTGTCCATTTTCCATTCTATGCGATGACGTGATTCATCCTTCATGCAACTACGCGATTCCGCGCTCACAGCTTTTACGGGCTTTATCGTCAAAAAACTGAGCCAAGTGCGATTTCACGTCATCGTCATTAGTGGGCTTTACTACTCATGCAGTTTTTTTAAAACTGAGGTAGTGCAAGGTCAAGGTAGTAGGGGAAATGCCAGATCACTTCCCAGCGAAGCGCCAACAATGATCTACGAGTCCCGATAATTG